CTGAAACGGCAGTTCAAAAAGGGAAACAAAAAACGGATAGAACTTTTGAAACAACCCAATACTATCATTCAAGATGTGCTTGACGATACTGCGTTTTTCTTTCTATAAAGGCAACAAGGTAGCCTTAGCAGCTACCGCCCCAAGACAACAAAAAAAGCATAATCACTCTTCAAACTTATAAACTCTCTCGTAAAAGCACTATAAATATGTACAACCTGTACAAATGACCAGACATTCGAATACAAAGTGAGCAACAATCTATGTAAACAGTATGGAACACTAAAGTAAACCTCGTAGATGTGGACTTAAGTGAGAAAAGATCAAGCTAGTAAGTGGCAAGTTATGAATATCCCGTCACCAGTTTGTGCGACCATACATGCTATCCAGAAATAGAATGCAAGCAATGGCTCTTCTTACAAGCGGAAAGAGAGTGCAGACTTTAAGAGAACACTACTACATTATCAACGTAAGAAAGAAGCAACTGCTTATCGTTGTTTTTACTGGCGACAAGCAGATTCGCAAAGCGTTCAGCCAGTTTGCGGAAGTTCTGCAAATCATTGAGCTGATAAAGTAAGTAGTATAGTCCTGCAACAAAAGTGCGACCGCATAGAGAATCTCGACGAGTTCCTGCAAAAACAGATTTCAGGAATGACACTGAGGAACAGTATACTGACCATTCAATCTGTGTATACTAGCATGAAGTGCAAGAAGAAGGCAGATGGAGGAGTTCGGAGAGGGGATCACGCTACTTTTGTACAAGGTCAAAGTAGGCGTAGACAACCCGCAATCCCGTAGCAAGTCAACAACCGGCCCAACATCAGTTGGCACGGAGTCGGGGCGAGCCAGTAGATACCTGTGATAGCCAAATTCTTTCTTGTGCTATCCAGCAATGTGAATCTTACCTGTCACAAGCTGTTAGAGTAGAATAAAGTGGCGCAGCATGTAGCTGACAGTGTCGCTTTTTTGACTGACAAAGCATGCTTAGCAACAATAAAAGTTGGCCAACCTATCAAAGGTACAAAAAGGTTGACGAACACGCAGCCAATACAGAAAAAACAATACCTTAGCGATCAGCTGACTAAGAGGGTGATTTCCTTGCAGCTGACGTGATAGCTGCTCGTACTGTGGAGAGGCTAAGAAAGTGTCGTCAAACGAGAAGTTTCCAGTAGCACCCAAGAGAGTATTGATTTGCTTCAGCGAATCTGCAGCAAAGACGAATTTTCGAAACAATTATAATGCTGTGATGCACTTACCATTTATTGAGATCATCATTGTATGACTGAGTA